ATGTTGCGCTTTATTTTTTTTTATTTATGAAATAATTGGTATTGCGCTTTTTTAATGAAATGTTATAATCTCATAATTGGTATTTGTACGTTATTTATTTATCTGTTTATATACTTTTATGAAATGTATAATTTCATAATTAGAATCACACTTTATTTACTTATTTATTTTATTAAAAACAATCTCATAGTTGATATTGCATTTAACCTTGCAGCCAATGCAGTCACTCTGCAAATTGGCATAGATTTGCAAAGCAAATATTAAATTTTAACGACAACCTTCCAGACAAACACAGAGATTTAATGTGCACATGTCATTATCTAAGAGAATATTTTAATGAATTGCTGATGGAAATCAGATGCTGTAATTTATGAATGACATGTTTATGATATAAAAGCACAGACATAATCAGTATATAAAGGAATCGCAGGCTTTACATAGATGGTATTTGTTTAAGGGTTATTTTATACAATACAACGGATGTTGGTGTGTAGACACATATTTATTGGAATTAAAAGGTATCAGTTTTTGTAGTGTTGCTTTCTACTATTCTGTCTGAAGATATGCAAATCTCATCGTAGTCTTTTTAAGCAAACAGTACTTTGCATGTGAGCCAAGGTATCGGTCCGCAATTCAGAAAGGTGAGGTGGGTGGTTTTGAATTATAGTTGTGCGGTCTGAGGACTGTCTGATTAAAAAACATATAGTCTATTGGTGGGTGGGGCTGCTTATTGTACTGCAGGATTAGGTGCAACCATTTGGACAAGCAGGCCTAATTGAACTGTCATATTTAATTTGCTCACCTCTGACAGCCGCACACACATACAGCCCTGGATGAATCTGTGAGCTGACTAGGATGGTCCTTGAAGATAAACACAGAGGCTGATTAGATGTAGTAGTTATCCATCATGCCTGTCCTGTAATATATCTCCAGACTGACCAAACACACACATTGCTGTACACAAAGGGCACGGCAATTCAGCCCTGCCTTCTGTGCATGTTGTTTGATTTTTGCTTTGCTAATTAAATTCCACCCTGACAAATAAAAATATGGCTATACTTTGGAAGTTATTACATTGTGGTTCAGAAATCTGGAATGATATCCCATAAATCATTGTGGCTCAGGAGCAATAAGGGCCCTAAAGGAATGTTCTGATTAAACCTTTTTAATATTTGCCTAGGGCACATCACCTTATATCTCTGTAAGGAATAAAAAGAACATTTATTAATTCCTTTCCATTTCTTTCTTTTTTTTTTTTTTTTTACAAAATGTATAATCTCAGTGCCATCTTTCTTTCTTGGCATATTTTAATGAAAGGTATAATCTCATAATTGATGTTGCGCTTTATTTTTTTTTATTTATGAAATAATTGGTATTGCGCTTTTTTAATGAAATGTTATAATCTCATAATTGGTATTTGTACGTTATTTATTTATCTATTTATATACTTTTATGAAATGTATAATTTCATAATTAGAATCACACTTTATTTACTTATTTATTTTATTAAAAACAATCTCATAGTTGATATTGCATTTATTTTATTCGTTCATTCATTCATTTTTTTTTAAATATATAATCTCATAACTGGTATTGTACTTTATTTAGTTAGTTATTTTTTTATTAAATACATAATCTCACAATTAGTATTGCATTTGTTATTTTGTTTATTTATTTAATTAAATATATTATCTTACAGTTGGTATTGCACTTTATTTATTTAGTTATTTTTTATGAAGTGCATAATCAGATAGTTGATAATGCATTTAATTATTCATTTAGTTGTTTTTTATTAAATGTACAATCTTATAATTGGTATTTCACTCGAGTTTTTTTTTATTAAATGCATAATCTCATCATTAATATTCATTTATTTATTCATTTTTATATATTTTTGTGTCTTTCTGTGTGCATATGTCCCAGCAGGAGAACCACCCACGATGCACCACCAGCTCCTGATGTTGCCACCATTTTTTCCGGAGCAGCAGATGTTTGTAGCAACTCCGCCGGACTAATTATCCTCTTTGTGTAGTACGTGCACGTGTTTGTGTTCAACTTTCTGTTATGCTTTAACTCCACAACGGTAGGATTTAGCAGTAATTATCCAGAAACACACCCCTCTTGCCTCTGCCATTGTCTTGATGTCTGGGCAACATAGCCGTCATTAATCAAATGATTCAATGCAGGCCTGAACTAGTTAACCTGCACCACCCAGCCCTGGTTACTGAGGAAGTTTTCAATTCCCTCTGGTCAATCACAAGGACACAAGAGTGCAACAATGGGCTGGTTATGAATGGAAATGAAAATAAGATGCAACTATTCAGTGGATTCCAGCAGTGCAAAGTTAAGTTTTGGTAGATCTGGACAAAGAGTTAAATTTGCTGAAGGCTGGAATTGGAAATTAGACAGCACGCAAGTTATTTCCTTAGCTTTCATACTGAAACCTACACAAGCACAACACATTGCTATTTTTTTTTACATCTGACCTAGAGCAAGAGGTCAGACAGTTACGAAAGGGGCAGCCCATGTCACCATGTTGCATTTGTGTATGAATAGCTGTTCGTTCAATAGCTCTTTTACAGTCTCTTGAATACAAGTGTTGGCTCCCTTCTGGACAGTCAGAATGCAGTGAATGCACTTTGGCAGGCTTGTTAGGCATCTGTGGTCACCTTTTTTAGAGAGAGGACATTTATTTGTAGA